GTAATTTTAATATTGCCGTCGGTATAATTTCTGACATATACTCTCCGTTTTTTTTTTTCGTTGAGTTTAAATAAGGCGGCGTACTATCCGCCGGAACCATAAGCCAGAATAGTTCCGCCGTAACATGCGACGGAAATGGTTCAGGCATCCCTATACCGTCGGGTTTTCCGGCGGACACGGCGTCGGTGAATTGCCGACGTATGTTCCGCCGGTAATGTTGACGCAAGCCTTATGTCGAACAAATCCGTCGGTGAGTACGCCGTTTATTACCGTCTAAAAAAATCCGCCGGAAACTCCGCCGGTATTCACGTGTTTTCCCGTAGTGTTCATTCATATATCTACTTTTGATGCACATATCTCTATCAATACATGTGTATAGAATTTATATCTTTGATATTTTTCTTATATGCATTTTTTTTATATACAATTTCTTTCACATACATGTATACTTGTATATATATTTCTTATTTCATAAGTAGTAATTATAAAGTAATTCATGAGTCTTAAATGTTTATGTAATATTTTTCTTCTACAATTTTATAGAAAAGAATACAATAAATAAAATTATGAAAATACCCACTTTATTTCTTCTTCCAATATTCGGGCAGTTTTGGAAACTGTTAACTATTCACAAGAATATAACAATTTAACTAATATGAAATATCAATTAAATGAATAGATAGACATTTGATTTCTTATAAAAACTTTACTCCACAATTTCCTTTCTTTCTCACAAATTTTCCTTCCTCTAGCGCCAACCAAGGCCTATATCACTTGGATTCTTTCAATCTAATTTAAAATATATTTCTCATTATATATCAATAAAGAACAAGAGTTGAAACATACTTTTAAATTGATCACTTACCTTTTTTTAAGATGAAATTTTCAAAGTCTAATTCCTTCTTCCTTCACACCCAAATTCGTTCCCCTTGCCTTCAATTCCTTCCTTTTTCTCTATGATAAGTATCTCCAGTTTTAGATGAAATAAAACAAGATAAATTATACAAAGAAGGAAAGAAAAAATTAACAAACCTCCTTCCTCTTGGTCGTTCTTTTCGTTTACCATCATTTCCTCCCAAATATCTGCTTCTTTAGCAATAAGGAGTTGAAGATTTTTATCCTCCAATATGATTGATTGCTAAAAATGGCAAAACGGATCTTCAAATTCCTCCTCGCACGAGTTAGGTTCCGCCTACACTGTTCTACCCTTATGTTTTGTTCGCAAAACCGCCCCTTCTGTTTTGCGGGATTAAAAGGGTTGGTCGTGAACCGGCCGGCTAAACCGGTTATTATAGAATCTTTAGCCATAATGGTCTAGAGGAAATTCAACTATTCTGATCTTTAGGAAAATGGTGTTTGAGCAGTCATTTTGTAGACTTTATACAAAATGTGGACTTGTAATGAACTATGCAGCTTAAATTGGTTTCGCTATTTTTTAGAGGATTGGGTAGGATGGTGTTGATATGTGTTGACCCGACTAGGCCTGATTGAGTTCGATCAGCTCATTTAAACTCAAATCGAACCCAAATCAAGCTTAATTAAACCCAAATTAAATTAGATCGACTCAAATTGATCCAAATCAAACTCAATTCAAACTCAATTCAAGCTTAATTGATTCAATTTAAACCCAATTGACCTTCCAAATCAAGAAATTCAATCCAACAACTCCGATTACCTTAAAACTGGAGAGCTCTTTCGCCTGTCCGAACCTAATATTTCTACGATTTATGTTAGCTGTAGTGGGCTGAGGGTCTATTCACGTGAGCCAGAGAGCAAAAGGAGAGGGAAGGACTTTCAATTTCGGGCATATTGAGAGAGAGAGAGGGAGGATCATTTGTTCCTTTCTTTCG